ATATTAAAAATTATAAAGTGTATTACAGCAGTGTTGACAAAAATTGTTATACTTGCAAAAAAAATGTAAAATTGTCAATACAATTGTCTTAACGGTAGTATAGAAAAATCTGCTCTATAAAAGGAAATTGAAATTATTTAAATATTATTATTTCCGTTGTAAAATATTACATATTTATCTAAGACATATATCCTGTAGGTTTCTAATTAACAGTTTAAATTATAAATTGTACTTTAATTTAACTAAGAAACACCGTGACGAGCGGATTGCACGAACACGCGCGCAAACCCTGGAAGAGGGATGTTTCGAGCGTTCCCCGCGATTTGCACATTAACGGGGAATAAACGACGCCGAAATACAGCGCGGACGCGCGATCGCCATAATAGGAGCACCGAGTAGTCTATTAAGCGTCCTCAAAACCAGTTAGTGAGTCGGCAATCCAGTTTAGGTACAAAATGGCTGTCGTTTAGCGAGGATTAATGGTCTCGGGAGTGCCCCGGGGCAGCATAATGGGGCAGATGCGTTCTGGATGAGGGGGAACAACCCTCTCTGATCTCTCCTCCCCGCCATTTATATCTCGACAACCTCCGCGCGCCAACCCTGCCTTACCCCACCCCTCCTGTGGCCTCGTTATGTACACCTATCTGACTACAGGCTCCATTATGCCCTTTTTGTGATGCTCCACGTACGTCGGTATAAATACGCGATATCTGCGCACCTACATACCTACACACCTCGAAATTACAGTCCGCGACGTTATTGCGAGTAGCAGAGGAAATTGTGTGCCTCTTCTTTCCTATTTCGCGCGAATTAAAAATTACGACACGTGAAAGATTAATAAACTCGTATACAAATTTTTATGAATAAATAATTTTACATCAGTTTTATAAAGTATTCATTAATCTCATAAATTTATTTACAATTGTAATACCAATTATTTTTACCTCTTAGCTTCGCTTTGCCTATATCGATACCTTATATCTTTTAACAATTTTTCCATGCAAATTACAGGTAATAGGATCAAATGACAATATAATTAACGTGAAATTGTGCATCTTGTAATTATCGCTTTATTTCGATTGTGCTATGTGTCATTTGCTCTCTAAATATCCTTATTATATTTCGTATATACAATTTTTATAATCTCGTCCAAACTTAGCCGGCTTTTGAGGGGCGGCACGATTGAATTTGTGTGCGCGCGTGTTTGTGAGGCTATCGCACACACGTGCGCGCGCGCGCGATGCTCATTCAGCCTCGTATTTGAGCGCCCAAAGCGCCGTTTAGTTTGACGTTTCATGGTCGACTGACTCCCCTCGTCGTCTACCGACGTCGCCGGTCCGTGTCGTTTCGGTGCTCCTGAGAGAGCCGTAAGTACTCGTTTTGAAATTGACTCCGGTTCCCTCGATGCGCGTGTGTGCGTGCGAACGGGTGTGCGAGCGGGGTACGTGTGTGCGCCACCGGGAATCGAATCTCGGCTTTTGTCGAGGCCGCCCTAGAGACGGCGTTGACAGAGATTTAGAGAGTGCAGTTAATATGGAATTAGCTGCTACGGAAGTGGCTACGATGCCGCGGCCGTATTATGCCATCACCTGCCGAGGGAAAGACGCTCGGCCATTTTTCGCGAGCCTAATAAGGCGGCACTAATGCTCTCCCGTCGTTTTCTCGCTCTCTCGCGGCCTTTAATACGTCGCACTAATGCTGAATCGTCGTGAAAGAAAATATTTGCTCCGCGACGTGGAAGTGGTTCTACGAACTGATGTGAAAACAAATTTACAAAGCACAGAAGCGGTAACATTGTCAAAGCTCGATTTTCATATAGAATTGTAACATTTTTACATAAACATTTTTATTATTAAATATATTTTACTAGAGTATTAAATGTACATCTTTTTAATTTCAATTTTTTATCACGTATTCAGATGTATCCAAAAATTTATAAAGAAAAATTTTAAGAAATTGAGAAGTGATAATAGCAATAACAATTTTTCAGAAAGAGCCTGCCAAGTTTAAAACATTCAAATAATTTTTTTGCAAATTCTGAATTAGTATTATTCAAAATTTTCTATAACACATTTAAATCTATTGAGGTCATTTTATAGAAATAAATTTTTTTATCTGATACTTTATATCGTTGTCATCTAAATTCATCTAAAATTTAATATTTTGTGATACTATTTTGGTATACTTTTAGGAAGAGATAATGTTTTGTGCATAAAGAAAATTCAAAGATAAAAAGGCAAGCAAACCGCATGCAAGTATAATAGACAAATTTGAGTCACGGTCTTAAAGACGAATCGGAAAAATCGCTAATAAATTTCAATTTGCCTTGTGCCAAATTTCCATTCACGCCAGCGTATATCTAAACACGGATCGTAAAGCGCTTGACAAGACCGCGTACTTTGACGCATCAAATTTACCCTTGATGATGCCAGGAGGGGCGGCACGAAAAAAAAAGATCGTCACGCGGACTTGGGCATTGACCATAAGGGGATGATTTGTTACCGGCCGTTGTTCCCAGGAACGTCCAATAGTGCGCTTCATCGTCGAAAAATGCACCAATGATGATGTATTCGAGAAAAAGCGAGCGAGAGAGAGAGAGAGAGAGAGAGAGAGAGAGAGAGAGAGAGAGAGAAGAAAGAAGAAGAAGAGAGAGA